ACATTACTCCCATGTTAAGAACGTTGCATTGGCTTCCCGTGTCAGCTAGAATGTCATATAAAGTTGCTATATTATTATGCCATAAATGTGTCAATAACAAAGCTTCCTCATATCTTAGTAATCTCATCCAGATTTATGCTCCATCTAGATCACTAAGAGCAGGCGATCAGTATCTTTTAAGAGTACCAAGAAAAGGGGGGTTAAAAATTAGCTGAAAGATCGTTTGCCCACCTTGCGCAATCAGTTTGGAACTCTCTTCCCCAACCCTTGAGACAACATCTGAGTCTAAATGTTTAAAAATCTTTAAAGACACATAAAGTTAATAACAATATTTTATGTCAGTAGATTCATGACCAGTACTATATTATGTTTTCATTTAAGTATTTTGAGAATTGCATTGTGTATATCATTCTATTATGTATGTGTATGTGCTCATTTCGTAACGATGATTAAGCGTGCGCGTGTGATAAGCAAGTAGATGTGTGTGTGTGTATGTGTGTGTGTGTGTGTGTGTTGTGCGCGCGCGCGTGTGTGTGTGGTGTGTGTGGGGGGGGGGGGGGGGGTGCGTGTGTTTGGCGTGCATGTGTGTGCACATGTGTGCATGTAATGTATGCGTGAGTGTGTGTGTGTGTGTGTGTGTGTGTGTGTGTTTGTGTGTGTATGTGTGTGTTAGTGTGTGTGTGTGTATTAGTGTGTGTGTGTGTGAGTATTGCGTGCGTGAATATTGTTCGTACATGCATTTATGTACAGCGCCTAGAGCAGTGTTTACACGGGAATGGGCGCCATAGAGATGATCTTCATTATTATTACTATATAGATAGATAATCCCAATCTCCCCCACCACTAACTCGTCTCTCCTCATCCCTCTACCCCACCAAAAACCCATCATCCATTCCACCCTCCCTCCCCCCCCCCCCCTTTTTTTTACTCCTTAACCCTTTTCCCCAACCCTTCCTCCCGTTCCCTACCTTAAACCCTCACCCTATTTCCCCGTTCCCTCACATTCCCAACTCCTCATGCCCCCGTTACTCCCCCCCCCACCCCCACCCCACCCTTGCCGACAGTTAGCAGTAACTACGCCTCAGTTAACACGCTATTGGCTATGGTACTACCACTGCTGTGCCCACAAGGAACACAATAGATTAGAAAGTGTTGCTGGTGCGAGAACTTAAATTTATTAGATTTAATGAATTATTCAAGATCAACAAACTCTTTCACTTTATATGGGTGTTGTTCAGTTGCATACGCCATGAATAATCACAGTAGGTTAATTAAAATGTACTACCTTTTGCAACCTAGCCTTTGCATATCTGCACATTTAGACTAGATGTTTTCTTTTTAAGGGAGGGGGGGGGGGGGCTGGTTTTAAATTGACGATTTTTTGGTCAATTTATGGTATACGGACTTTTTACACATTATAATACTCCAATCACTTGTAAGTCTACAAAGTGCTTGCTCTTCGTGTTACAATCTTCATCTTTCAGATTTTTTGTCCAAGAACTTTCATTTTGCCTATTATGTAACGGAATGTCGGGGGGTTTTATTTCGCAAAACGTCCATTTTAAAATGTTTTTTCTCATCTACTTTTTCATTTTCTTTTTGCTTCCAATGAAATGTTCAAGGCTTGTTATTTATACCATAACCTAACTTTATACAGGTGGAAAATAAAATTGATGCATTCATGAAATTTATGAGTGAATTACATGGATGAATATGTAATCAAATTCAGAGGCATGACGGGGTAGGTCATTATTCATCTCTAACTTTTTTCCTAATCAAAATATCCAAGATCCCAACTGTATGAAATTTTATATTGAGTATATCTATCAATGTACCAAATTTGAACAAATTTGGTTAATAAATATAAAAATCATTTTTACTTTTATGAAAACTGTTTATTTTCAATATGGCGGTCGTTACCATGGCAACCGCAGACTTAAACAAAAAAAATAAAGTTACATTTTACATAATATGTTTTCCTGTTGTACCTCCTTGCTATAAGGCTTCATCGAAACAGGCCATAGCTACCGAAGTAGGTTTATGAACCAGCCTCCCCCCCCCCCTTTATCACTTTTAGGGTAGGTAATAAAGTTTTCTGACTTAACCCAGCAAGTTCGAGGGGCTGAGGGGAAAAGCAGTTTGAGAGTCCGCAGGTTAAGGCAAAGTTTTGTAAACACAAAGGTTGTGTCTACGAGATCAGCCCATGTCCCTTTCGTTGTAGGGTTCAGAGTGTTGATGGTTATGCAGTGTTCACATGTACAGGAGAAGAGTCGACGAGCGATTCCCGATAAGATAATGCCAAATTCGGGTTTAATCGAGATGAGCATCTGGCCATGACTGTTGGCATCATTGTGTCCGCGAGCACTCGGGGAGAAGTTCGCCGAACAAAAAAATTTAGTGCCTCGAGCATCTCGCTGAGCGTCTTCCGAGCAATTAGTTTGAATCCTGGCAGCTTGCAGAGCCAAGAAACGAAGCGGAAAGTAAAATTTCACACGCCGACAAACTCGCCAACCATGCTGACTATCTTGCCGCCCCGTCGCCGAGTTAGTTGGCGTGCAATCTCTTTTTGATAGAGAGGGGGGCAAAATGTTTGTGTTCATTCTTTCAACATGTCTCATGTGACACAGACGATGGATGCGTACTTCATGTATACATATGGTGCCCTTGCTGTTGTGCTGGTGCTAGAAGAGGAGAAGAAGAGGAGGGGGAGGACCTGTTGGGTTAGACCATGGCTCATAAGAATACCCCATGTACGGACAGTTTGAGGAGCTGATGGCTGAACTGCAAGTTAAAAATGTGGCATCCTTCAGGAACTTCCTCAGAGTTTCTCCAGAGTTTCTCCAGAGTTTTTCCAAGAAGCTCATCAACGCCATTTTCCTGCCAACACTCACATATCAGTGCCAGAAAAGGTCCCTTACAAAAGCCCTAGAGAGGAAGCTGGTCACATGCGAGATTAAATGTTTAATAAGAGCAGTTAACAAGAAGAGACCTTTTTTTTTTTAAAGAAACCATAAGTGACACGGTAGGAGCAACAACAGTCCTACCACACATTAAAAAAGAAAAGATCAAGTGGTTCGGACACCTCACACGAATGCCCTCAAACCAACCAGCTCTGAGGGCATATAACATCAAATATTCTGGCTGGAGAGCAAGAGGAAGACCAAGGTGATGCCGGAGTTAATCTGTTGCAGACACCCTCAGAGCTCACGTGATGCCCCTCCTACAGGCCACTCGCCTTGCTTCAGACAGACGCCTGCATCTCCACGCGACACCTACAGTACAAGCGGAAGAAAAGAGTAAAAAAGTAAAGTCAATAAGTACGGGAGAAAATTGGCCCCACCATCCACAAAGCAAACACTTTGTGGAGGCAGTCACTGGAACCTGACATCAAGCTGGCTGCCACTCTTTGATTCCTGGCAACTGGAAATAGTTACAGATCTTTACAGTATTGCTTCAGAGGGGCCTGCAACACTATCTGTAGTTTCATCCCTGAAATCTGTCAAGCTATCATTGATGTATATTGTGATGAAGTCCTTGTTCTACCTACAACAACAGACTATTGCAGAAGAATTTGAAACCAAGTGGAATCTATCACATTATATTGGAGCTTTGGATGGAAAACATATGGCTATCTGATGTCCCTCTAACTCTGGATCCCTTTACTTCAACAAAAGGGGTTCTACTCCATAGTCCTCTTGGCACTTGTGGATGCCAATGACAAATTCATCTATGTCAATGTTGGTGCCACTGGAGCAGGATTTGATGGTGGTGTTTTTGCAGAAACGGATTCGAAAGAACTTCTGGAACTTAACCAAATTGGAGCATGCTCGTCGTGTCAACTTTTGCACGCCGTGCTTGAGTAACTCAGACTCCCCGTGCGAGATTTTTACACGGCGAGCAATATTTTAACCCGCAAAGAATGAAATTTAACTCGGCTACCATTCAAATCTAGTTGGCCGTGTCACTGTACTAGGCAACGTATGCAACTTTGCACGCCGAGCTATTTCTGAAACTCCCCGAGTCCTCCCCGAGTTTCCCCGAGCGAGTTATTGACTCCGCGATTCATTTTTCGCTTGACGAAAATTATAAGGATGTTTAAAAATTCGGTAAGCTTCCCGTGTAATAATTTCACACTGCGAGCAGGAAATATCACTTGGGGAGGGTGGCCGATTGCTCGGCTTCATTACTCCTGTATGTGTGAACATCACATTTTTGGCCAGTCGGTGAAGAGAGGACAACGAAAATACCAAACTCCAACAAATTAAACCCAAAAAAAGCAGCCTACGATGATTTTTATCTCAATAAACTAAGATTATTAAACGCAGGAAAGCGCTTTTACTCGAAAACTTGCTTCATTACTACGTTCTCGAGCCTAGCAGTGAAGGGATTAAATTGTGACCTGTTCGTGCTGCTAGTGCCAAAAAGTATTACTCAAACTAACACACACTAAGCATCAAAAATAGCACAAAAGAAACAAAATGTTCGCCCTCCACTCGAAATGATCCTTGACTTTCCTCGGGCTTTGTTATAGGTTGTGAGGCCACTGGCACTGGTAAAATAGTTTGCTTCGTTTCTCAAAAAGAAATTATTCTTTTTTATATAAGAAACGACAGGCCCTAAAATTATGGTATCAAAGGAAAATAATAATGATTATCATTTTTTAATGAATTAAATATCACCATCTTTAGTATCTGAAAAAGAGGAATTCGAACGATCGTTTTATATACGCAATCGTTGCTCGTACTCGAATCTGGATCACTGGGTCTGTAGTCGGCGAGTGTTCTGATGGTTTCCTCCTTTTTTTTCAATCAAACATACAACGTCCTTATTTCTTCTCCTTCTTTCTTCCTATGTTACTCTTAAGTTATACCTCTAGTCATCAACACTTTTGAGACATATTTGTGTTTCTAGTGCTGCAAAATCTCTTACTTAGACAAAAAACTCGTCACGGGCAAACATGTAGGCTATTGATCATGTATTTTTCTTTTTTTCTTCCACAGAATGGATTCACACAAGACGAATGTCTCGAAGATGGATCATATGTTGAACCAAAGGGCAATCTGTCTTTAGAACGGTTTCTTCTTTGGTTTTTATTTCTTGTTTATTTCTTTTCTTTTCTTTTCTTTTAGTCTTCTATTCTTCTGTAGAGTCAGCAGATTTCAGTACACAAAGACTTTAAGGCAATTGAGAGATTCTTTTTCTCAGAATGTATTTTCTGGAACGACATTAAAATCTCACTAAGAAAGACAGGGGAAAATGAAAGCAGCTTGAAAGGAAACAAACCGAAGTTATACCGCTGTCGAGCGACGTGTGTTGGGGAGGGGAGACGGACGGACGTTCTTCACGTAAGTCGCTGATGTTCAAGAGAAAAACGTCTTTGAAAATGAGTCGTTGTACAGCCCGTAGTAAAAGGCAAACGACCATGGCGATTTTAGAAACAACCATATGCCGGCAAAAGACGAGAATATTAATACTGTTCATACTACTGCTGTCCCACCGCCGCACATCCGCTGTGTACTTTACAAGGGGAACGCCATGTCGGGGTTATACGCCGCGTAGTTTATCCTGTGAAGCCAAGGCTTTCCCTACAGAACAGCAGGGTCTTCTGTCGTGTGCCAGACTTTGCGCCAGAGCCGACGTTTGCGTGGGAGTGGCAATGGACGAAAAGGGGCAGTGCTATCACTACCAGGAATGTCTGTCTGCCGATACGTGTTCTGTTGACGATGACCCCCAGTGGCTTCGTCTGCCCTTCTACGGGAAGAACCTTGGTTTTGCGCCAAGTGCTCTTCCTCAGGAAGTTTGTTTGAACGCAGGAGTATGGAATCAGTCAACCGAATCCTGTCAATGTACCGGTGGTTGGATTGGTGTGAACTGTCAGATGCTTGCTTCTAAATGCTCCCAGCTCGTTGGTTTATACCCCGACGGGTACCACGTAGTGTCCATGAAACTCCATCGAATCATAACCGTTAGATGCCAGTTGATGTCTAAAGAGCCTGGGGCCAACACTTACATTGCCCTAAGCCATGGGAACATGTCTTTTAATCGCACATGGGAAGACTACGTGCTTGGTTTTGGCTTACCGTCCGATCAAAACTTTTGGCTTGGTCTCGAAAACATCCACGCGGTAACGGCCTCCGGATTGAGTATACTGAGCATCGACATTGTCCTGGACTTTCAAATGTACGCCTCCTCTATGGTGCGATACAAGAATGTATTTGTTGGGGGTCCATCCACGAAGTACGCGCTGGGCGTTACGTGGGATTACGACTTTACCACTCCCACTTTCTCATCCGCCGTGGGCGAATCAAACAGGCTCGGTGACTGCTTGTCTAAAGTGAGCCAAACCCCCTTTTCTACCTTCGACGCTGATCACGATCTAAACCCAGGCGACTCCTGCGCGTCGAGGGCTGGGTCTGGCTGGTGGTTCACCGACTGCGATCCGGATTGCAACCCTCTGGGTTGGAGCTACACTGCTAGACCAGGTCCTCAAAACCCAGGTCACCTGCTGTTGAAGGGCTTAGATTTTTCTGACGGTTCGTCTTACAAAAATCTCTTCGCTCACCTTGATGTGTACTTTTACCAGAGACTTTGAACGGCCCAATCCTTCTTCTTCAGACATTTCTTTTCTTTTTCTTTTTCTTCTTTCTTAGACAGAGCGGTTTGACATGGGGGCTGGGGGCAATGATTACAGTAGGAAAGATGAATCCACAGAGTTAATATATCGCTCGACGGCTGAAAGTCGAAATCTGAATGTATCTCATCGTTCTTGGAATGTATCCTACATGTCTTAAGAAACAACAACAAAAATAAAAGTCCAAGCATCCAAATGACCTCATGTCACAACCAAGTAAGTCGTTCAGTTAAAATTCAAAACGAAGGTTATGCACACGAAATGATTTTGTTTTCTTGCAATGTTCTTGCTGTAGCCCTACTTTTATCAGTCCTATAAATAATTTTACAAAATCTTGTAAAATCTTGTTCCTGAATCAGATCCTTACCCCTTTCCTTTCTCAATGTCTGATTTTTTATTTTTTATTTTAATTTTTTTTGTGGATGTTATAAGGTAATCATGTAACACTTTTAATCAAAATATCATGTTCACAAATATTTTAGTAATACTTAAAGCGGGAAGATGATTTACGCATCGGACAGAAATCGCGTCCATTCTATTTCTGCTTGTATTTAAAGAAATAAGATTAGATATTCACTATAAGGTACTGAATCTGCTTAAGATGTTCGGTAAGAAAGAGTGCACTCGAAATTGTCCAAAACGATTATCTAGCGTCGAAGAGAAAATTTATTATCTTAGAAAAATAAATGTCTTTAATGATTTGATATTGAATGTAGTTATTTTCACACTTCCTTCAACACAATTTAGATCATTTAGGAGACAGGCTTCCTGACTGTCAGGACCAAACTGGCTGAGAGGAATACAACATCCCAGGTGAAAGATAGAGACACTCGATAAAAATTTCTCCCCACTCGGGAATCGATCTTGGGTCTCCTGCAAGCGACAGCGAAGCACCAAACCGCTACACCACAGACACCGGTGTGAATGTCTGGGACAGTGTCATTATGACAAAAATAAAAAGCCAGGGGAGAGTTGAAAGTGGTTGTTTGTACAGGTGATTGTCTTGGAAAGGTTGCCGTGAAATAAGTTCATTTTGTAGGTGTTTACAGTAGAAACTATTCAAGCCGTAAAGGTCAAGATGATATTTCCGCTGCAGCCCAGCACTCGTCTGATCAACTTTGAAATTTCTGAACCATCTCTAAGCGGACGTCTCCGGCCTTTGTCAAGTCAACATCAAAGAACCAGACTTGACAAGAGTTTCCACACGCCAAGCTAACCGATTTCCCGAGAAGAGCTAAAACAGATCATTCTATTGCACGCTCCATAGACAGGGGGCGTTTGTGATGGGTCACATAATATAAGACATTACTGTTTTTAAAACGTTGTTGATATTTAAAGTCAAAATCTTACAAAGAAATATGAAATAGTTCTCACACACTTAGAATTGTTTAAATATATAGTGAGATCTATTTTCCTTCGCTCTTAAAAAAAGAATAAAAGATCAATATTCACTTGATCGATTTTTCTTTTTGGAAGTTTGTTCTACAATGGTGTACATAACTACATAATACAATAATAATAATAATAATAATAATAATAATAATAATAATAAAATATAATAATAATAATAATAATAATAATAATAATAATAATAATAATAATGATGATGATGATGATGATGATGATGATGATGATGATGATGATGTTGATGATGATGATGATGATGATGATGATGATGATGATGATGATGATGATGATGATAACAATATCATCATTATTATTATCTGCACTGATATTGCTCATATCTATGCTCTACAGCTTTACAGCATGTCTATGCGCTTTACAACTAACAGTCGAAACCGTCTAAAACCGCCTCTCATTGTCGAGGAGAATTGTGGCCGTCTTAGACAGGTGGCCTTTTTACACCATGTCAGTATATTGTTGTTTTTTTTTTTTAATTCACAAGGGGAAGGAATGGGTAGTGGCCGTTTGTTTTCAAATGATTGTCTTCTACAGGTGGCCGTTATTATAGCAGTTTCGACTGTATTATTACCCAATGAAGTCCCTAGAACGCTCAAAAACACTGTGGACTTCCTGATAAGCATACAGAGCAAGCTGCGGATTGCACATGTTCAAGCACTACCAACCTGACAAGATCTTTTGCTGTTTATAGCCGGGTAACCATTCCCATATTGGTGAAGTGAAGAAAATTCGTGTAAAGTGTCTTTCACAAATACACAACACCGGGCTCCTGACTGGATTCGAACCCATTACCTTACAGTAGCGAGTCCGAGAGCCTAATCACTGGGTCGCCAACGCCATAAATGCATGAATGATACACAATACCACAAACATAACAAACCTATTCCTTGAGTCACTTCTCAGACATTATAAAGGTTAAAGTAACGTTCGCCCTTTTGATTGATTAATTGATTGATGGAGTAGGTATTTACGGCACAGTCGACTCAGTTTTTGGTAAAACCTTCGTTTGTAGCCTATGCAACACCACATACCATGGGAAAAACTGAGAAACTCTTCGGTATGTAATATCTTACTCAAACGTCTCACACCGTCCATATAATATGTGAAGTACCAAGGTGTAATCAAGCACTCGTCAAAATAATGAAATCGAAGAAACGCATTTTTCCTCCAGTCAGGCAATTTTTGAAGATTTTTGTTTTGTTTTAGTTTGGTTTGGTTTTATTTTATGATTTTGGCTCAACGCCTTTTATTTCCATACAAAAACACATTTCCATGTTAATATCACTGAAATGCGCACAAAATATGAAGGCATAAAATTACAGTTTTCTAGTTACCATACTATGGCTGCCATTTTCTCGCTAATTTAACCTCAGAAACCAGGCTACCCTCACCTATTTCAATAGCAAATATCTCACCTTCTTTTCAAGATGGATGAGTACTTTTTTTAAATAGAAAACAAGGCAAATGAATATGTTTTTAGATGATACCAATAACTCCTAAGAAAACAAAACATCACGACTGAAAGAGCTACGGAGCTAGCCTACCTTAGAAAAATACATCTCCACTCGACGCTTAACGGCAACAGAAGATGAAACACCAATAACTCAACAAGCGCAAAAATTGACGAGCGCCGGATTCCACAGCATCGTGACACAATAAAATCGTGCGCTCGTCAATGCTGGGTATGTGGAGTTATTGATGTCATCTTAAAGCCTGTTCATTTGAAAAAGAAATAAACATCAAACTTAAATAAAAATCGAGATATTTGTGATTGAAGGAGGTGGGTTGTCTGGTTTCGGAAGTAAAATTGGCGAGAAAATGGCCTCCAAAGTTTATTTATTTCAAAAGCTTGAGAGTACTTAGATTTAGAGACTGAAAATGTGCATTTGTTGTGCCTTAAATCATCATTTTTTTTCTGCGGTAAAAGCCACACAGATATAGATCTAATATGTTTTCAAAAGGACATAAAACGTGTTGGGAAAAAAAGTTCCAGAGTAAAAAATGGTCAAACTGGCGGGGAAATGCCGGTATCTTCGAATTCACTATCTCGACTTGATTTCACCACGATGTCTCACACCCACATAATATTACATATATTGTCACATACACACACACACACACACACACACACACACACACACACACACACACACACACACACACACACACACATACACATACAGACACCCATATATGTAGCATATATATATATATATATATATATATATATATATATATATATATATATATATATATATATATATATATATATATATAAATCGCTCCTGGGCAGTGCCACTGACTGTAGTGTCTTGAGGCCATTCCCAAAGGAATTTCTCGTTCAAGCATAGTAGAATTGTAAATAGGCTGATTCATCTTGTCACGCTCATAACTGCCTGATCTGCAATAGGGAACTGCTGCTTTTTCTTTCCTAATCCTTACTATTGTTATTTCCTCTACTTCTTTTGTATTTTGTCACTCTCTTGTGACCTGCTATTTCCGGGGTGCCTTGATAGTCGAAGCAGACCTTGTGCTGTTGAAGCTAGAGAGGTGAGCAGAGTAAGTCCGATTCCCTGTAAAGACTTCTCTGTTGACACACCCCTTGGCGTTCATATGACCTTATGCAGTTGTTTTTTTATATAACTGCATAAGGTCATTGTAGTACTAATTAGTCCAATCCGATAATGTGACAGCTCCACACTTTTTCCAAGCACGATAAAAGGCTAACCCAGATTTCGGGGGTTTCTAGAAATCTTGACCTACACCAAAAGTGGACATTGCCCTATCTATAGGAGAAGTTTGGTTTCATTGGTATGTATTATTTGTTTCATGTTTGGCTATAGAGAAACTCTCCTTGTCTTTTAAAGAAACTGAACAAGGGGCAAAAACCTTACCTTCGATGTTTTCAAAAAAGTCTTTTCGGGTTAACCCCCTTGTGCTTAAAAGCGACCAATTCAATTAGAGACCTCTTGTGTTGAGCGCCGAAATGTCCTTACCATTGCAGACGACAACTCTCTACACACCAACATAAACAGATGCTTACCGTTTACAGTTTAACTACCAGAGACGGCCAGCCACTGTCGAGGTGAAAAGTGGTTGTTTTAGACGGAAGACGTCTTGACAGACATATTTCATTAAAAAAGAATTTGTTTGACACAAAATCCACGAAAAAGAAACTTATTTTGAAAACGAAAATGGCTTAAAGATAAAAGCACCCAAGAACGCAAAGTTCACCCTTTTTTTTTTTTTACTCTTTTAGAGGAAGTTGTGAAAAGATTGGTTGACTTATTTTTTATTTTCTCTTTGACATTTATTTTTTCATCCCTGTAACATTTAAACAATATTTAATTTATTTTACAGAGTTTAAAGAACTAACGATTTCATTTTGAAATTCCCAGAAGCAGTTCTCTACATGCCCTCCTTTGGACTGTTCAGTGGCACCCAAACAAAAGGGCCTGCTAAAACATGAGTGTTTAAAGCCACATACACTGTACAGAAGTAATATTCTGTATAAAGTGGATTTTAGAGACAACAGGGAGTGGGTGAACAATGAACAGTATTTTTTGAGTTAACATATATCCTGCAGGGTGAACATGTGTTTTGCTCTAAACCAAATGTCATCGAGGAAATGATCCCACTTTTCAAGACAATCGAGGAGTCATGAACACATTGCCATGCTCGGATCCATGTCATCTCGGCCTGGCGAGGATGAACATGGTACAGTCGTCAGTTAAGATCTGCCAAGAGAATGCAGACTGTTGAGGTGTAGGAAAGTCCTAGCTGCAAATCGTCTACGGACATTGCACCCTGGTGATGTTTTTTAAAGATCTGCGAATGGTGCGAATTCGACCTGAAGTGGTCATTTTTAAGGACATTTTTACTTCTGATTCGCTATAGATCCAAACTGACGGAACTTCTCTACTCATGACACCAAAGGTCTTGTTGGTACCCAAGCATTTTTTCCTTGTCCTGTGCAGAACTTACGAAATGTCAGGGATGGTGAGTATGTGGAGAGCTAATGTTCAATACGAAAAGTTCTCGACTCTTCACTGAACTTAACCATGATCTCAACAGGCAAACGAAATTTGAGAAAAATAATATCTGCAGACTTCTTTTGACTTGTTTGACTGTTGTAGCTTGCAATATGGCGCGATTGTGGTAACTTTTAGCGGAAGGCCTCATACGAATTGGTGCGCCATTCTACAAAAATGGGGACAATGTTGAAAATTATTTTTTTAAGCGCTATATAGAGTAGAGCAAAATCAATTAATGGACTTATCTA